CGGGCAGCTCCTGACAGGCAGGAGGGCTTTCATTCGTCGCCGCTGCAGTAGCCACTGGCCTCAGGAGCCTGAAAGGCCAGATGGGCAGTAGCGGGCCAGGATCAGTGAGGCGGCTTGGGGGGGGGGGGGCTTCCAATGGGGGCTGCACACAATGCGCTTGTGCAAATGACACATTTTTGCACAGGCAACCATGCACAAGCTGCCATTTTCATCGTTTTGCATCATTTATTGTGGGGGGGGGGGTGAAAGGAGTACCGGGCAGCCACCAGGGGCTGCCCCAGCATTTCATCCATGTGCTTCCAAGCATCTCCACACTCTTGAGGTCTAGCCACCCTTGGATATTTACAAATGAGCTCATTGAAGAAAACCTGGAGGCTGGAGGCCAGGTGTCTTTGCCAGCCTTGCCCGACGTGGTGTTCTGCAGATGTTTGGCAGACTACAACTCCCAGCAGGGCTGGCTGGTGGATGCTAGAAGTTGTAGTCAGTCAGTCTCGGTGGCCTCATCGAACGGCCCCTTCCAGCTCCACTGTTCCGTGATGCCTGGAAGGTTGCCATATGCTGGTTTTGTGGTGCTCTGGATAAATTTTTTCCTTGCCCCCAAGCAGTCGCCGGTCCCGCATTTTGGGAAACGCACAACCTGCTTCTCTCCAGCTGCAATTTGGTGAATTAAGAAGGCTGCAGCCCTCCGACACGTCAGCTCAGAGGGACTCGAAACGCAGATAAAAAGCACAGCGGAATCCGGTTCCGTAAAAGGCATGTTTGCCATCCCTGGGACCAAGGGAAGGCTGAGTCACATGCAACTCGCTGCCAGCGGTGGGTGCAGGCTTGGTTGTGTAAATGCAGCCTCTCTGGAATGTTCCAGGGCACCGCTCTCCGCCGGCGCTGGAAGCACAGCACCCCTGGCTTGGAAGGGGCCACGGAGGCCCCTCGCCATGCACCCCGTGTGGTGCCGGAATCTGGCTCCAGCATCCCTGCCTGGTGGTCCTCCAGGGCCTGCTGGGAGACCTCCAGTGAGGGGGGCACCACCTTCCTGGGCAGGTGTGGCTGTTGCCCCCCTCCTCCGACTGTGAGAAATACGGGGTCCAGCAGCAGCTGACAGAGCCTGCTTTTTAAAAAAATAAACGAACACACAGCTGTTTAGGACACGATCCTGCATTAGCTGCTTAGCCAGGGCGCTGTTGCAGTCTCCATCCACCCCAGTCTCTCAGGCATTCATCCCGATTGTGGAAGGTGTGTGTGCGGGGAGGGGGGTGTGGAAATATCAGGAAAAGCCGTACCGGGTGCAAATTGCTCCTGAAACGATCGCGAACAGTCCCGAAGGCTGGCGGAGAAACGCAGGCTGCCACAGGATGTCCTGCTGCCCGAACACGTGGTCCCTGTGTGCGTTTACCTGCGAGTAGCTCCCACGGAATGGGACGTGGGGCTGAGAAGATGCAGATGGGCCTGCACTGGTTGTGGGAAGCGGACGAGCTGCCGTTGCCCCCGAAGCAGAGCTGGGCACGTTCAACCCCCTACGCAGCAGGCAGAGGGAGATCTCGCCCCTCCTCGGGGTGAGCGGCTCACTGGTCTTCGGTGCGGGGCCAGAGGAGCTGCATGGCCTCCCTGGACAGGAGGAGTTTGTGTGCAAATTCCAGATGACACTGCACATAAACTCTTACTGTTTGGGGCCAGCCAGGAGGGGTCCGGGGGGGGGGGGAGGATCTCCCGCACCAGGAGCAGGGCAGGGGCTCCTCCATGGGCATCCAGGGTCCTGGACTGCGTTGGCGGTCTCCATCAGCCGGCAGGGAGTGCAGCTGTCGGCCTGCCAGGTAAGCAGGTGTGCCGGCAGCCCCGGCTCAGTCCCTTGCAGCCTCCCCAGGCTGGGCCAGGACGACGTCTGCAGGAGGCTCTGGAGCGTGGCTGCCCGCCCGTGTCCCCATGCTGGGGCGGGCGGGCCTGTGCCATGGACCCTGCATAAAACACACGAAGAAGGGAAAGTGCTGGCGGTTGGCCAGAGTGGCGGGTGTCCTCCTGAGGAGCGGCCACCCCGGCCCTCTTCAGCCTCACCCTGCCAAAGGGCAGAGGCCTCCCGGGCGGGCAGGGGGTGGCCAGCCCTTTCCGCCACCCTCCTTCCCAGAGGGCGTCCCGTGTCTCTGGCTAGAGCCGAGCTCCTGTGTGCTCGTGACATCCCCAGAGGCATTAGGCCGGAGGTCCTGCAACAGCTGGCTGCGGATGATAGGCCTCACAGTCCAGCCTATCTGGATTGTGCCAAGTTGGGCACAGCTGCACCCACGGGTCGGGGGACAGACCCAAACCCAAATTGCGTGCCGGGCCAGGCAGCACGTCTAGGCGGGAGCAAAGCTCCGGCCTCGTTCCGGTGGGTGTGGCCGGGCCACTGCGCTCCTCGGCCACCGGGCTGCCCCACTGCCCCCCCAGGCAAGCGCTGGGGGCAGAGCTGCCACCGCTGGGCAGCCAGGGAGGGGCGCAGGAGCGGCCCCGGCCCCCTGCCCCAGTCCTGCGTGGGAGTGCCACAGCAGCTGGAAGGGTGGCCGCATCTGGAAATGATTTCGCCGTGCTTCGCGCTGGAATGTGCCAGCTCCCTGCTCTTGCAGGCCTGGCCGGCGCGGGGAACACGCCGTTCCCAGAACAGGAAGTGCCTCTGCCTCTCCGTCACCCGCTGAGAGACCGCCAGGGCCAGCTTGGCGGGGGGGGGGGGGGCTGCAGGGCAGATCCCCCCCCTTTCTTCCCCACTTGCCTCCAGCTTCTGGGGCAGGTCCCTGGCCGTGGTTCCAGCCCAAGAGAGGCAGCCCAGCTGCAGGGAAAGGGGCTTGCCCTGCAGGAGGGCCGATCCTCAGGGCTCTGCTCTGATCCTCCAGTCCTCTGCTCTGGCACATCCCATGGTCCCCAGAACCCAAGTGCGGCCCTCCCCTACCCTGAGGTCACTCGCTGGCCCCTCCCCATCCCCATGGGGGGGGCTAAACCTGGTTGTAACCCTCTAATGCCCAAGCCATAGAGTGTTGCCAGGCATGCTTCCCGGCCTGGGAATGGGTCAGTGTTAGGGACTCTGCGCATGACTCAGAACTATGGTGCCTCTTTGATGACATGCCCCAGGACAATGTCTCCATCGAGTGCAGCGGTGGGCAGGAACGAGGCCTCCCGGGGTCCAGGACTGCAGTTCCCAGCATTCCTCACCACTGGCCCTGAAGCATGGGCTTGTGGGAGCAGAGGCCCCAATCCTGGGGCGACCCCACCCTGCCGCCCCGGTGTCCGGCTAGGCAGGGAGCACTGCCGCTCGGCCAGGAGCCTGCTGGGCCAGCCAGAGTCACATCCCGGCCAAGCTCAACCTACCTTGCAGGGCTGTTGTGTGTAGGAAGTGAAAGCGAGCGGGCCGGAGTTCTTCAAGCCTCTTTGCTTGTGGAGAGGAATAAAATGAAGGTGCCCCCCGGCAACGGCTGGGTGGGCGCTGCTCCGCACTCGCGCCCAGCCGAAATTACGCCCAGACGGGGCAGGGGCCGAACTCAGCCGAGCCGCCTCGCCTCCGGCCTCGAGAGCCCTGCTTCCCGGGACGCGCGAGCAGCTCTTCCCCGGCAAGGCTGGGGGGTCCCGCGGAGGGGCAGCCCCTCGCCCGCCGCCCCCTTCCACGCCCCCCGTCCAGCTCTGGGGTGCGGAGGGGCGCCGGGCGTCGCCCGTCCGTCCAGGGGCAGGGGAGCGCCGGGTCGCGCGGGGGGCGCTGACGCGAGCGGGCTCGGCCCCGGCACCTCTCCGCGCGCCGAGCACGAGCCTCGGGGGTCCAGGGGAGCCCGGCGCCCCCGCCCCGCCGTTACCTGCCGTCCTGCCCGCGCCCGCCGCCGCCTCGCCGCCGCCGCCGCCGCCGCCACGGCCGGGAGCCGCGCCGC